CCCCAAAACCCCAAAACCCCAAAACCCCATATAAAACCCAACTGCTGAGTTTAATAATAAATAAAACCTAATGAACCAATTTTGTATTTCTTACTGCCTATGTGAATTTGATCAAGCTCCTCATTCTCTTCTGAAGAATAAAGAAAATATGAAGTTCATCAAAGAGAGCATTCTGAGCCAGTACTGAACTAATTCTCTTCATGAGATCCCTAAAGTTGTTTGTAACCAAGCTACTAATTCACCACCAAATTCAGTTGGACTGGGATTATCCAAAGAAAATAGCATCATCACCAAGATGACCTCTGCTTTTTCTCCTTATATACCTAAAGAAAGGAGCTATAAAGACGATTCTTCTGACTCTCCTTTGCGAGAAATAACACAAGAAGATGAAAAAGAAGAATTCAAACATCATGCTCCTTCTGAAATTAAGAGCCTTAGCAAGTACAGCTTGAGAAAAGATGTCATCTACAAAGCCATCTTCAGAAGTCTCAGGAAGTTCCTCATCAATGACTTCAAAGAATTTTTTGATTTCACTAGATGAGTGAAAAGATTCAACACTGAAACTAATGGAGAACTTATCTCAATGATTCGTTTATACATTCATCAAAAGTTTGACAATGCTTGAGATCACCTAGAGCTCTTATTGTTGCAAATATTATGAATAATAGATCCGAAGCAAAAGTACTGCACTATCAGCCCGAGTACTCAAGCCAAATACAAAGAGGCTCTGAGTCTTTTCTACTGCTACAGCAAGAGAAGGCTTTCTCAGCAGTTGGAGTCAGAAGAGTTGGTTACTCTGGTGTTACATTTCCTTGCTCAGCCCAACCTTACGGAAATCACAGTTCGGGATCGAAATGATCGCCAGATGGTGACAGAGTACGAGAAGATATTCTGAGAGCTCAGAAACAAATGAATAACAGCCAAGACCTTTAAATAACTTTGTTTCAAAAATTAAAATTTACTCCTGCATTAAATTTGGGTTCGTGAAAGCATCTTTTTGTTAGATTTCTTTGTTGAAATTTTGATATAAATTTATTAATTTGCACTCTTATTTAAGTACCCAGTACCCGACTTAGCGTCAGAGATGCCTTCTGAAGAAGCATTTCACTTAGTCTAGAAGGATTTTGGATATATAAAGTTCATCAAGACTCTTCCGCTTCAAATTATTTTCTACAAATAACATCTTTGAAAGAGAAAATACTTTTTAATTTAAATTTTTGGAGAAAAATAAAATATGAGAGAAGGCTCAAATTATACTTATAGCATTTATAGTTATTTTAGTAATCTCTTGTATCTCTTTGTTGCCCATTTTTAGATCTCTGAGTTGTATTCACAATAATGTACTAGGAGCATTTCAGTCTTCCAGAATTTCTTCAAATATAATGTTATTAATTTTTCCCTTTGATGGCTTATTAAGAAAAAATTTGTTCTATGCAAGAAATTTTATAGAAAGTCCAAGGACTTGTTATGCAAATATTCAGCATCATCTATTATTTCATTACAAATTTATTTCTCTCATAGGCTAGCATCATTAGCTCAAGTGACTCAAAGAGTGCATTTAGAAGGCAATAATCTGAAGGAAATAACTTTTGATAATAGCATTCAGTGATTAGGCCAAAATCTGAGGAAGTTATGAATTTTATTCTAAATATGCCATAAATTTTTTGACTAAAACCTTATCCTACTTCCTTCCATGAAGAGTCTTTATCAAAGTCTTGAGCTTCTCAAACTCATCATATGGACGGTTTATAGCTTGTCTGTGCCTCTGTTGGCTTCTAAAAAATTCTAAGTGCTCTGTTGAGATTTCTCAAAAATCAATAATAAGAGTTGAAGATGTTTTGAAACGTCTCTTTTAAAAAAAATGAGGGATTTTTGTTAAATTCAAAATTTTAGGGAACTCTCTAGTTGCTGAAAAATTATGAGATGGCCCTGTAAGACTTAGTCCAAGCTCATATTCAGGCAAAAGGCCGATAAGAAGGCTTTGGGAAACCAGCCCTCAGATATCTTATTAAATTAATAAACATCCTGGCCTTTATAGGAAATGGCAGATTTGGGCCCAAATGCATTAAATTCTATATTTTGCCAAAGATATATTCAGAAAAAGCTACAGGCTTCAGTTGACTGATTATAACAGCCTGAATTCACTATGCTAGCTCTTTGAGAAGCAGCTGGTTTAGATTATTTCAGGAAATAAATTGCCTTTTGGAACCATGAAAGCTATTCAATTTTTAGAAATTCACTGAGAGTTAGTCTCCTCACTGATCATCTCAAAGGCAGAGATAAATTGAGCTCTTGCTTTAGTTCAATTGAAGGAGGTGTTATAAATTATCAAGGGAAAGACTTTATAAGTCTCACTGAAAGGACAGAGGAGCTTATATGGCTAGTGGCATTGCTATTGGGAGCTACTGAGAGCATTATACATTAGAATAAAATTATCTATTTGAGTTTGAGATCTTTTAAAATAAGGAAATAAATAACTTTGCATCAGGTCCCTTTGAAGAGTTTAGGCTACACTTTTAATTTAATGGGAATTTTGTGAGAAGAGTATATATCATAGTCTTTAACCTATCCTTGGGGTCTCATGAGGTTAATTTTAGGAAATGGTCACTCAATCGTAATAATATAACTTGGGGTTTTGGGGTTTTGGGGTTTTGGGGTTTTGGGGTTTTGGGGTTTTGGGG